CTCCCAGGATGTTTCCTGTCCTGGAGAATCACAGCATCACCGGATCATTGAGGTCTCAGTTGGGAGCGGAGGACAAAATGGAATTATGTCTTGGAATTCCATAGCTGGGCTGTAGGCAGGAGAACTAGGCCTAATCAAACGGTTTTTCCCCAAAATTATGTAGCATTGCTCCTGACACACTGTGATTGCTATGGTTATTCTTTCTAGACCGGGACCTCTAATATAAATGTAATGTAGGCAACAAATGTGCTGTGTCGAATAACAAGAAACGCTATGAGAAGTGGTGTTTTTAAAAAGCAAGCAGAGGGCTGGGGTGTAGCTCAGTGTTACATCTCCTGCCTAACGTTTGTAAAGCCTGGGTTTGACCCGCAGTATCTACCTTAAAGGGCAGTGAAGTATACCTGTAATCCTACCTGCGCAGGAGGCTGAGGAGGAAGGGTTTCACTTTCCAGGCCAGCAAGACCCTGTGTAAAAAAAAAAAAGAAAAGTGAAACTAATCTTAATGATATACATTGATTTAAGACAATTTATCAAAATAGCATTTTCGGGCCGGGGATTTACCTCAGTGGTTTCCAGCGCAAGGACCGGAGTTCGATCCCCTGTACCAAAAAAAAACAAAACAAAAAACCAAAAAAACCACCATTTTCACATTAATCAGGATTGTTAAAATTAATCAGAATTGGGGCCGGGGATTTAGCTCAGTGGTTCTGTCGCCTGCCTTGCAAGAGGAAGGTCCTGAGTTCAAACCCTGGTACAAAAACATACACACACAAAATTAAATTAATAAGAATTTCATAATGTTTTCATCCTAAGTCCCCCAAGCCCCATGTGTACTGCCTTTTACCCTCAGCTAAGCTAGTTTCCAGTGCTGAAGGCCACACGTGGCCACCGGACCTCAGAGCCGTGAACTTGTGTGCGCGTGCACGCCTGCACGTACTGCACACGGCAGAAGTGCTTGTGTTTTCGTGTAGGGAATGTAGTAAGTTCTCATAATTTGAGGAAGTAGACATGCATCAGCTAAACAAACAGGCAGGAACCAGAACTGAAGTTAAAGGCGGCCTGTGAATGCATACGGACCTTCTGGGCTTGGGCTCGGCCGCGCCCCCTGCTGACCCCGGTTGGCAGCGCGCGCAGACGACCCTTAGAGAGGAGGAGGGATCGCAGCCACAGCCCTCCTCGTGGGGAACAGGGAGGCCACAAAGACCGCCCGGGAGAACCTCCCAGGTCTTTCAGGCGCCACAGTAAGAGCAGAGAGCC